TGGTGACCACAACCACCTAATAACAAAAAACTCTCAAAAAAAAAAAAAAAAATTAAAAAAAAAAAAGAAAAGAAATAATAATTTTCCAGACCAGCAGTTGACGTAACGGCTATGTTGCTGGACTCCCATGTAGTAGACTGCAGTTCAAGTCCTGGACCCAGTGGCTTAAACTCATGCTGGGCGTGTGTGTGTGCATGCCCAAGATCCCTAGAGGAGAATGGAGGAGAAGGGATTGCAGCATGGCCATCCCCCCTGGGGGGTAATTTCTCACTTTCTCTCTGTCTCTTTCTGGTGAGTGCACGTGCCCTATAGCAAAAATCTCTCAAAAATTTTTTTTTCTAGCTTCTTCATCAGACAATTCATATATGAGTACAAAAAAATGCTTCAAAACAGGCATGGCTGGTTAAAATACCAAGTCAAGGCAATACTTATGACAGGAAACAGTGCAACAGATCTAGGCAGTAAAGAAACTAGAAATAATGTGAATGCCGATCAACAGTAGAACAGATAAACTGTGGTACATTCACACAGTGGCATATTACTCATCAAAGATAGACACATACATACATGTGGGTGAATTTCTCAAATATAATGTTGAGCAAACAAAACAGAAGAGTCCATATTATATGAATATTTATATCAAGTTCAAAACTAGACCAAATTGGGAACCAGCAGTTAGCGTAATGGCTATGTCGCTGGACTCCCACGTAGTCGACCACGGTTCGTGTCCCGGACCTGGTGGCTTAAAACTCACGCCAGGCGCGTGTGCGTGCGTGCCCAAGATCCCGAGAGCAGAGTGGAGGAGAAGGGACTGCAGCGTGACCATCCCCCCGGGGGGTGATTTCTCGCTTTCTGTCTCTGTCTCTGTCTGTCTGGCGAGCGCACACGCCCTATAGCGAAAAACCTCTCCAGAAAAAAAAACTAGACCAAATTGATTTATGCTGTTACAAGGGAGGATAATAGGAGGCCCTTAAAATGCCGGTACAGTTCTGTTTCTTGATCAGATACTGGTTATACTATTTTTGAAAAATTCCTTGAGCTGAACATTTATGGACTTCTCTAAAGTTTACCAAAATAAGCCATGAACAGCAGTTACTTCTAGAGATATTATGGGTCATTTTAAAAAATTCTTCTTTGTGCTTAGGTGTATTCTCTGAATTTTCTAGAAAGAGCGTAACATATTAAAACATACACACATAGCAGGCAACTTGCTTATATCACTCCCATAATGTTATATGCAAAATCAGAAGCAAAAACAGTAAAATGAAGAAAATAGAGTTATGTATGTAAGAACTGCCAAAGGTCAGGTTCTCTAAGAAGCCGGTGCTAAGTAGAATTAGAGTAAAAATGGTGTGATGGGAAGAACTTTTGTGAGAAGTGTGGAGAAGCAGGATTGGTCACGAGGAGCCATCAGACCATGATGTGGACCTGACAAAGCCTGTCCAACTGAGAACTAGGGAGCAAAGAGTCAGCTAGAAGAAGCTAGCATGTGATGCAGAAGGCAAAGCTCTTTTTTTTTTTTTTTTCAGAGAGAGAGAGAGATTTTTGCTGTAGGATACATAGGCTCACCAGAGAGATAGAGGGAAACTGAGAAATCATCCCACAGGGAGATGGCCACGCTGTAACCCCCTCTCCTCCATTCTCCTCCTGGGATTTTGGGCATGCACACACAGGCACCTGGCGTGAGTTTTTTGTTTTTGTTTTTGGTTTTTTTGGGGGGGAGTGAGGTTTTTGCCACAGGGTGCATGCACTTACCAGAAAGAGAAACAGAGAGACAGAAAGTGAGAAATCACCCCCCAGGGGGGATGGCCATGCCGCAATCCCTTCTCCATTCTCCTCTCGGGATCTTGGGCACACACGCACATGTGCCTGGCGTGAGTTTAAGACACAGTGTCCAGGACTCAAACTACAGTCTATTACGTGGGAGTCCAGAGACATAGCCACTACGCCAACTGCTGGTCCCATCTGGCATGAGTTTCAAGCCATGGGTCCGGAACTGGAACCATGGTGGACCACATGGGAGTCTCTGGACACAACCGTTACGCCATCTGCTGGTCCCCACAAGGCTCTTTTATCAGTGCTCTACTCCATCACTGGCTGCTGATCGTTCTGAGAAAAGCATGATCCTGACTCCAACACAGAAGTGGACCTTGAGGGGCTAGGCTGTTAACTTCAGCTACATTTCTACTATCAGTTTTTGCTATAGGACGCATGCACTCGCCAGAGAGAGACAATGAAGGAAAGAGAAAGAAAGCACTTCCCAGGGGTGCTGGTCATGCCACAGTCTTTTCTCTTCTAATCTCCTTTAGAGATTTTGGGCATGCAAGCACATGTGCCCAGTGTGTTATTCGAATTGCCAGATCTAGGACTCCAACTAGCCAGCCAAGTGGGATTTAGCCACCTTAAACACCATGCCACTGGCTGGTCGGTAATTCCTCCTGCTCTATACACATCTTATCTAATCATTCATAAAGCCACCACCCCAACTTACAAATTTCTAGCATTACTCTAGCACTTGTTAAATTGGCTGAGAAAGCCTCCATGCCTGCCTTAGTTCCCATAAGCAAATCACAACCTCACATTGAAGTCTGCTTCCTTAGTAAGGTGCTAAGTCACAGCCAATTACAGTGGCTACACTTCAGTCAACCACAGGCAGACTGCCCATTAAATTGTGTAAATTGAGGCAAACAGGATGTAACCAATCCAGTTATTTCTCTAACTTATTCTGGGGCTGTCCAATTCAAATCATGTTTTTTGCTCAATTAAACTGCTAAACTAAATTGTCTAAAGGTTTTTTTTTTTCTTAATACGGTGATGAAAATAATAAAAAAATAATACAACAGTGATATTGAAATATATTTTGGAGCTTTGAAAACTACCTGAAATGTTGCAAAAGGTAGGGAACCAGCAGTTAGCATAATGGCTATGTTGCTGGATTCCCATGTAGTTGACCACGGTTCACGTCCCGGACCCGGTGGCTTAGAACTCACGCTGGGCGCGTGTGCGTGCGTGCCCAAGGTCCCGAGAGGAGAATGGAGGAGAAGGGATTGTGGCGTGGCCATTCCCCCTGGGGGGTGATTTCTCACTTTCTGTCTCTCTGTCTCTCTCTGTCTGTCCGGCGAGCGCACGCACCCTATAGCGAAAACCTCTCAAAAGAAAAAAAAAATTTTTTTAAAAAAAGAAATGTTGCAAAAGGTGAGGTGGAGGGGAAAGTAGAGAACAAAAACCTCTCTCCTCTACAACTTTTGTAACCTTAGAAAGTAGAGTGCCAGCCTGTAGGCGGCCTGACGGTTAAGGTGCTATATCCCTCATGGTTCTCTGCATTATTCAAGTCTTGGACCTGATATCTTGAAAAACATGCTAGGTGAGTGGGTGTGTTTACCCAAAATCCTGAAAGGATAATGAGATGGAGAGAAGGGATTGTGGTGTGACCACTCCCCATGGAGAGTGCTTGCTTTCTCTCTCTCTCTCTCTCTCTCTCTCTCTCTTTCTCTCTGATAAGTACACTCACCTCTGGCCAAAAAAAAAAAAAAAAGTACAAGAATGATCACATTAAGAAAAGAAGAGGGCCAGCCCTGTAGCTTGGTGGTTAAGACAGCTGGATCCTGGGACTAGCAGATGGCATAATGGTTACGTCACTGGACTCCCATGTAGATGACCATGGTTTAAGTCTTGGGCCTGGTAGCTTAAAACTCATGCTGGGCTGGGGCCAGCAGGTGGCGTGCTGGTTAAGGGTGCTGGACTCCCACATGGCCAACCATGGTTGGAGTCCCAGACCTAGCAACTTGCTTTCTCTC